AATTTTTAGATGTATTTTTTTTCGATGTTCTGAACTTAGCATTATTTAACTGTATAGTAAATGCACAATTTTTTTAACCAAAAAGGTCATTTCGTACATTTTCCTCGACATGGCTCTTAGCGTTCTTGTTTTCTTTTCCAGGTGCGACGGGCACTGGACGGGAAACAAACGAAGCACGGAATCCAACGAACAACACCAGGAAACTATGTACAAACACCCCATTAGCATAGGCAGACAAACCAGTAGGCATAAGACCAAGCCGCTCGGAAGATTTTTTTCACCCGAAAGGGAACCATCGAGTTTTTTTTACTTCCGGCTGGTTCTGTCTTAGGGTCCTCACGACCCCACTAGGGGGGGAGTGAGCTGTAGCGGTAAATAATTCCCCAAAATTATTGACCACAGCAATCACTCATTGGATGCTGACCACCACTGTTTAAGTCGACTTGTTTAGCTGAAGGCTTCCGATCAAGCATCCCCGCCATTTGGTACCCCGTCGTGTAACGTGCACGATCACTAGCTAGCTAAGCGTTCGTCTATCGGCTGGTTTTGGTTCCTAAATACATTTCTTCGTTTGGACGACCAATTATTGGCTTTTGCTTTGTCTTTGGTACGCGAGAATAAATTAATTAGAAGTTGTTGAACGAGATATCACGTCAAACCTTTAATATCCGCCCACCTTTAAACTGGTGAGCCTAACCGCGAACTTCATCTGCGACAATTACTCAGATAATCCCGGTGAGTTCGTTCCATTTTGTATTTGTTCTCGTACCATATATTATTCGACATAATTTTCGTCATGAGTGATCTTAGTCCCAAGGTCATCCGTATCCGCTCAACTCCTAAAACCATTCAGCTCGTACCATACTGGCCAGATAATGCTGAAACTTGGTTTCTGCTAGCTGAAGCAGATTTTTGTGAGCATGGGATAACTGATCAACGTTCACAGTTACTTGCAGTTATTCACGCCCTACCGCGGGAATTCAGCAAGTACGTAACATCACAGATGTTGAGTCCCGAGGTAAGTAACTCGTACGAGTTGCTGAAAGCATCCCTCCTCAGGAGAAACGCTCTCACGGACAGACAACGTCTAGATGAATTATTTCGCAACATCGAGTTAGGAGATCAGTCAGCCGTGAGCATGCTGACAAGAATGAAACAAGTCGTCGGCCAATGTCAGTTCGACGAAGGACTGTTTAGAGAACTCTTCTTAACCAAGTTGCCACAATCTGTACAGACCGTACTTGTGACACTTGAGGGTACTGTAATAGAGAA